GGAGGGAGGGAGGGAGGGAGGGAGGGAAAGAAGAAGAGAGGGAGGGAGGGAGAGAAGGAAGGAGGGAAGGTGAGAGGGAGGGAAGGAGGGAGGAAGAGAAGGAAGGAAGAAGAGAGGGAGGGAAGGAAGGAAGGAGGGAGGGAAGGAGGGAAAGAGGGAAGGAGGGAGGGAGGAAAAGAGAGAGGGAGGGAGGGAGGGAGAGAAGGAGAGAAAAAGGGAGGGAGGGAAGGAGGGAGGAAGGAAAGAAGGAGGGAGGAAGGAAAGAAGGAAGGAGGGAGGGGAAGGGAGGGAGGAATGGAGGGAGGGAGGGAAGAAGGGAAGAAAGCAGGAAGGAAACAATAGGAAATGGTGGGTTTGGGGTTTTTTTCCTTTCTTGAAAACTGGTGGGGGGGAACAGGGCAGTGGGGGGGGGGGAGGTCAGGCCTGTAATCCTAGCCACTCAGGAAGCTGCCATCTGAGGATCATGGTTCAAAGCCAGCCCAGGCAGCAGTCTCAGAAACTCTTATTGCCAATTAACCAACAAAAAAAGCTTGGCAGTGGAGCTGTGGTTCTAGGGCTACAACATCAGACCAGTCTTGAGCAGGAATGAAAAGCTTAAGGGAAGGCATCTGGTTTTTGTTGAGTTTTGTTTGTGCCTTAACGGGACTCGGGGCCTGGGCGCTGTCCCTGAGCTCTTTGTGTTCAAGGTAAGCCAGTGACCGCTTGAGCCACTCCTCCACTTAGGGCTTTTTGTGCTTAACTAGAGATCAGAGTCTGGTGGACTTTTCTGCCAGAGCTGCCTTCCAACTGTGATTCTCAGCTCTCCTCCGCCTCTGAGCAGCTAGGGTTATAGGAAGATTGGTGATTCCTGCGTTTGTTGGTGTTGTTTGTTTTTGTTTTTGGATGATGAGTAAGGGAGACTGGGTGTGTGAGCTTTTCTGCTGAGCCAAAGCCTCTGACTTGTGAGATCTAATGTTTCTCCCTTCTCTGCCTAAAAAGCTGCACAGAATCCTTCTCCCATTCCTTTCTAGGGCAAATCCCCAGCTTCCTTCCTGTGGGTGGTGGCAATTACTTAATGCTTTTCCATGAAAGACTTTAAGTGCTCCGTTTGGGGATAGGAGGGGGAAAGGCTCCTAGGAAAGGTGGTTGAGATCCAGGCAGGTAGGAGTTTATCTTTTCCTACCGGCAGGGCTGGACCTAGCAAGGTCCTGTCCTTGAAGCCTGGAGAAGTAGACCTCCAGAAGCTAAAGAAGAGCTCGTCTCAATTATGGGCATAGGGCTGGACCAAGGCGTTTAACCAAGCCCCTTCCTGACCCTGTCCAGCAAGAGTCAGCTGGAGGGCAGCCACTCACTGAACGCCCTCTTCCCTCCTTTCTGCTTCTCAGAATGTACCTTCTTCCCTTCCTAGGGTGTTTCCAAAGCTGGGGTCTGTCAGGGGATAGTTCCAGGCTGGTTTCTTCCTGGCCGTATCCCTGGCACCTGCTTCTGTATCAGGCATTTAGACAAGGATCTTACTAATAGCAGTTCTTTCAGACAGAAACATCTGTGCCATCTGCCTCAGTCTGGGGAGTTTGGGCTTTTAAAAGACACAAGAGCTCATAGAATTCACAAACTGTATAGACCATGATAATGACAATTTTCCTAGTGAAAGTTAAAATGTGTGTGTGAGACTCTAAGTATCACTATTCTACAATACTGTGAAATAATTGAAATTTATGTAATCACCTAATCTCAATTAAAAGTGAGAGAAGGGAAGGGTTAAGAGAGATGAGTGACAGTGTTGTCAGACACTTTGTACTCATGTACTTGTAGAATGGGAACTTCTTTGTACAACTACCTAAATATAATTAAAATAAATGAATAAATAAATTTTTTTTAAAAAGACACAAAAACTGGAGAGATGACCTCTAGAGGTAGAGTCTCTGCCTAGCTAAGCATAAAGCCCAGAGTTCAAACCCGGTACTGAAAGAAAAGGTGCAGGGGGGGGGGGGGGGGGGGGCAGAAGAAATGTCACTATTTGCAAAATCAAATAATCAAACTGTAGTCCTTTGTGACTCATAAAAGTGATAGTTTCCTGAATATAAACTGTATACCAGGAATCCAATTATACCAACTCTAGTCTTCCAAACTATATGGGTTGATAGAACGATTTCCCTTAGACAGATGAGGCACCTTAAGGAATCGGCCTAAAGTCAGATGTGGCCCTTTTTTTCCCCTGTATCCACCTTTGAGTAGAAATAGCGTCCTCAACTAAAGGACCCCCAGGAGTGTTCCCAGAGCAGCAGTAGCCACGAAAGCATTGCTGCCCAAGTTTCTAGATGCCCTTGGAGCTGGTACCAATGATCAATTAGCAGGGGTGCACCACCAGGCGCAGAAAACCCAGAGTGAGTGGTGGGGGCAGACCAGAATCACAGAGTGCTCATAAGGAGCACCTGACACGTAACAGAGGCTCAGTGCATGTTTGCTGAATGAATACGCGATGGCGAACTCACCTGCAGCCCCGAGGCAGCAGCGCTGAGCACTGCACTGTTCCCTCATCTCTGCCATCTCTTCCTCCAGCTTCTTCACCCGGGCCAGGAGGTCCTGGACACTGTCTGCCAAGTCACAGTCTTTCTGTGGTGTCTGAAGGCGAATGTTGTGCCTGAAGATGAAATTCTGTTCTTCCCCAGCCTCCCCCAGGGCCATGAGTGAGGCCCCATCATCGCTGAGGGACTGCGGGTCGGCCTCCACCTGGATCAGGGCAGACTTGGGAACATCGATCTTGTATGTGTGGCTCACAGTGACCTGCTGATCCTTGCTGCTGCAGCCCTGAGGCTCCGGGGTGGCTGGGGCAGAGGTCACCAGGAGCACAGAGCCCAGCAGGAGCCCCAAAGGGAAGCTGAGTGTCCCCTGGACACCCATCCGTGGAGAGAGGGGGAACAGATGCTCCACGAAGCCTAGACCCAAAGGAAAAAGACACAGAAGAAAACCATGAGACTTGTGGGGGGAGATCGGCATGTCTACCAGACTCTAACTGTCCACTGGAGGCTGAAAAAGGAGCAGAAAGAAGAGTCCATCTTTATTTCCTGAGGATCCAAGCTCAGAATGCCCTGCCCTGCCACGGTCTGTGCTTATACTGCTTGCTACACTACCCGGTTACCTTCTCCTCCCTTTCCAATCTAGGCTCGTCTGCACTTCATTTTTGTTTTTATTATTATCTATTTTGTCTGCACTTCCTTTTTATTTTTATTATTATCTTTAAGTAGTTGTACAAAGGAGTTGCCATTTGACAGAGCAGTTTATGAATACAGGATATCTTGATCAATGTCACCCCTTCCAACTTTCTCACCCATCCCTTCCCTACCCACCCTTCCTTCACTCCTTTCTAAGACTGGAACTGGAAGTCAGTACCTGATGCTTTAGCTCATTGGCTAGCGTGCTACCAACTGAGCCATGCCTTCTTAATTTTGTAGGATCTACATGGAGCAACCCTATTGTGTTGAAGGCCTACTGTCCAGGCTTTGGTCACACCCCCCCACTCTCTCTAGTCTTTACAGCAGCCCTAATATTCTCTTTCTTCATAATACCAATAATTATTGATATCAATAACAATTGATTTCCCCTAGAGTGCTTGCTATAAAAGAAGCACTATTCTAGGTGTTTCACATTTACTAATTCATACAATGCTGCATATGAACCTGGGGAACAGAAGACTTCCTTATGAATAAAAATGACTTATTCACCAAGTCCTCTTTACTGCCCCTCCCCCGTCTCACCCCAGCTGGAAGCCTGCTCTTGCTCCTAAGCAGTTGGAGAGAACTAGTCCCTCCCTCTTGGTCTCCTGCTTTGGTCCCTCTTGTACACAGCTTTTCTCTTCATTAGACTGTAAGCTTCTGAGGGACAGGACCCAAGGTGGCTTCATCTGGGGGTCGTCAGGAGGCAGGAGCACAGAGTCACGGGCTGAGGGGTGCTGTCACTATCCTCAGACCCATCTCTGTAAAGGTGGCAGGCCAGGCATCCCAGGCCAGGCAGGCCTGAAATGCTGCTGCTCAGCCACCAGGAGGCAGCATCGTCACCACTGCCTCATTCCTCAGCCCACTTCCTTGGTTTCTTTCCCCTGCCCCTTGCTGATCACTGACTGAGGCCCTAAATTCAAACCCCAGGAACAGCAAGAAAATACATAATAAAATAATAGTAATGTAATAATATTAAATAGTAAATGTTAGTTGTCAGATTGCGGGACGTGCCAGGCATTGGTCAGGTGCATAGATCCTCACTGGTCAGCAGTGCTGTGTGGCCAGGCGCCGGTGGCTCACACTTGTAATCCTAGCTACTCAGGAGGCTGAGCTCTGAGGATCTTGGTTCAAAGCCAGCCTGGGCAGGAAAGTCCATGAGACTCTTATCTCCAATAAACCACCACTCAGAAAACTGGAAGTGGCGCTGTGGCTCAAGTGGTAGTGTCAAGTGTCCTTGAGTTGAAGAGCAGAGGGACAGCGCGCAAGCCCAGCGTTCAAGCCCCATGACTCACACCACACACACACACACACACACACACACACAGTGCTGTGTGAAGCCACCGTTACTCTCCTCAGTGAGGAAGGAAACTCAGTCTTGAGAGGCAAAGCCTCTTACCAGGTGTTGCCCTACCAGTAAGTGACAGAGTCAGAATTCCAACACAGATCCATATGATCACAATCTGTGCTTGGTCTTCCTTAATAGGACCTTCTGATACAAAGCTACAGGCGTTTAAAGAAGAGGCTTGTCCCTAGCCATTCCCTTATCTGTGCAGATTAACTATACACTGCACCCAATGTATGTGCCACTACCCAGAACTAAACAGAAATGCACCTATTTATTTTATTGAGACATAATATTTGTGCAGCAGTATAATATAATGCATGCATATCATGTGTAATGACCAAACCAAAGTATGAGCACTTCTGTCTCTTCAAACCTTAACCATTTTTGTGCTTTCCTACTCTTCTTTCCAGTTACTCTGTGTATGTGTGAATGTGAGACAGACAGACAGACAGATAGACAGAGACAGGCATTCATATTACATTACTCCGTCTTGGCTCTTTCAGTCATCCACAGCATGGATTCTTGATAGGAATGATGTGCTGTAGCTTTTCTGAGTGTGTGCTACCTTGCACACGCTAACCTCGCATACTACAGATGGCACTGGGAAGGGTCAGGGACGTTTCTTATCATCTAGGGATTTGAACAGTGGATAATCAGTGTCCACGCCCTTTACAGAGAGTTGCACTAGTGGAAGTTTAGAGTAACTAGGAGGTGGCACACAGAGACCAGAGTCTGACTCTGACCAGGAGGAATTTACAGGTTCTTGGGGGATACCTCAGTGGGAGGGGCAAGACCAGATCAATGACAGACAAGGTTCTGTGGGATGGGGGGAGTGGGGGGGGGTGTGGGGAGGCTAGAGCCACAGTACAACGAAACAGTTCATCAGGGGTATCCCACCCCACGGCAACTACAAGCAGGAAGAACTCACAAAGGGGCACCGGACTAGCAGCAGCACCAGCTGCCATTGCCGGGCATCCAGTAAGATGATGGCAGTACAACGTTCCCCGCCCAGCAGTGGTGTCCTTTTTCTCCTGTCTTTGTCCACCACTCCTCATGAGCAGCATGGAAAGGCTGGAGACCCACTGTGCTTGTCAGTGGATTCCAGCCTTCGCCTGCATGGATGTGGCCTAAAGGGGCGACTGGTGTTCTGACAGGGCAAATGATTTGCCTTCAGAACAGTGATTCTAGGACCAAAGCAAGCAGAGCGCTTTGGGGCTCTGTGTGGGACTTTGGTGAGAGGATAGAGGAAGTGGGGGAGCCGGTGGAATTGCTATTTTAAAGAGTGCTTCCCAGGGCTGGGAAGGTGGCTCAGTGGGAGAGCGCTTGCCTTGCATGCATGAGGCCCTGGGTTTGATCATAAGCAGAAAAAAAAAAGCTGGAAGTGGTGCTGTGGCTCAAGTGGTAGAGCACTAGCCTTGAGCTGAAGAGCTGAGGGACAGCGCCCAGGCCCAGAGTTCAGGCCCCACGACCGACAACAACAACAACAAAAAGAGTGCTTCTCAATGAGAAGACAATCACACAGCCAATTTTCTACTTGTTATTCAAGCTGGGAACAGAGAGGCAGAGACCCAGACAGCATAGCGCTACTGATTATGCAAGTCATGGACACAAGATCTCAGAAACAAACCCAGGTGTCCAGTCCCTGGCCTGGACCCCTGAACCCATGAGCAACCTCAGTCTCCAAAGCACAGTAGCATGAGTGTTTCCACTGTTCAAAATCCCCTTCCCTGGCAGGAACAGAGCTAGGAAAGCCCCAATTTCGCTGCCTTTTCCCACCACGGCTCACTCTCAGCCCGTGGCTCATTATTCCTGAGACCGCTCAGGAGCCGTGAGTGGTCTAAATGGAGTGCAGATGTTTCTTGAAGAAGTTCTTAAACACATGCAAAAAAAAAAAAGCCAGGGAGTATTGCCATAAACCACAGCAAGGCTGCGCAAAGCCCCGTTTCCCAGCGGTTGGTTTTGAAGCCACGGAAATGAGAAACCCCAGAAGCTCTTGTCGGAGACCTCCTGTCGCCTGGTACCCTGAAAAGGAACGAAATGTCCCGGCTAATGCCAGCCCCTCCCGCTCCCCATGGCAAGCTCAGCTTTTCCAGGGCAGTAAGTGTGATCGCTCGAAAGATGAGATGGGGAATCCTCCATCGAAGACTTGTCAAGGGTAAAAGCAAACAAGAGAAGCTGCTGGCTCTCTCTCTCCCACATGAGGCCAGGGGAAAGCCTAGCTGTGTTTGGTAGCATTCAGAAGCGATGACTTCACCCACTGTTTTCTGCGCACCACCGCACACCGCAGCCAGCTCCCTGGGGAGGGGGGGGGGGAGAGGCCTGCAAAGACACCGCGTTTCACCATTTCGCATGTCATACATTTCTCCACGAAGGAGTCACTTCCCGTGGAAAGTAGGGGAGAGGCTATAAGGAGTCAAGGATCAATCATTCCCATATAGGAAAGGTGCATGCAAGAAAGCACCAGAAACCAGATGCCCCGGGAATCATGTCTTTACCTCTGAGGGGCAGTGGATGAGAGGGGAGGGTGGGAGGCACAGGAGGAACAGATGAATGCTTTTAGACCGATGGTGCCTCTGCAGAGCTCCAGATGCCCTGAAGTCTCAGAGCTCTAAACGGGGGCCTCATTTCTCCTTGGTAGCTGTATCTATCCCTGTGGCTTTAATTCCCAGTCAAATGTTCACAGCTCCCAAATCTGCAGGAATCTTCAGCTTCATAGCCCAGAATAGCATGGAATTCCGAGGTTTGTGAATTAAATATCAGCCACACTACATTGTGTGTGTGTGTGTGTGTGTGTGTGTTTACTAGATATAGGTACTTCAGCATTTTTTTAAATCAACATTAGTCTTATTGAATCTTCAAAATGCTGAAAGCCAATGGAGAGCATTCTGGGTTACAAGTGCTCAGAGAGGTTAATTTGACTAAGGGCACACAGATAATAAGTAGTAGAGCTGGGATCGCATAGCAAGACTGTCCACTCTAGATCTGGGTTCTTCATCTCTATAATATGTGCTGTATATGTGAGGAAGGGAAAAAAAAAAGTCCCTTCCCCATCACCAAAAATGTAGCTTTTTCTGCCATATGTCTTTTCAGAGAGAGCTTCTTCTGCAAATAAAGGAAACTCAAGGCCTACTGGGTAACCAGGAAAACATGAATGAATCAGTAACTAAACCCTGGGTCTGCACTTACTCTGAGCAGAGTCAAGATGAGCCTTGGAAAAATGAAGCCTCAAGACCTTCTGTGCACTGGGGCAGAGACTGGCCAGGCCTTGGTCAGGTTGAGGAGGGATTCTCCACCCCTGCGGCTGGATGACCTGGACGTCCCCTCATTCTCTCCAAAAGACA